CAACACTGACAGCGGTATTCCAGCGCTTGCTTGAATGTGATACATTTTTTTACATCCAATTTCTTCGAAAATCAAATAAATCCTAAAACAAAATGTATTGTCAAATGAATGGATGATATAAAAGCGAGAAAGAAATAATTTAAAAATATTAAATTTGTGCTGCGAAAACGTAAAAAACATTTCAAATATCGACGATTTGAAAACGCCGTTTGAGCACAACCATTGAACGCATCCATCGGTCTGTCATTGAAATTTCATTGGAACTGTCACTTTCGTCTAGCATTTTTATGCCAGATTACCGCCAACCGTTCACGAAATAACAACTGAAATCGAATGCAATCGGTGTGAATAAAATCGCTGTGCACTGACAGAAACATTGGTCAATTTGGTCAAAATGGTAAGGGTTCGTGATTTTCTGTCGATATATTCTGAATATTTCGATATTTATTGTAAATGCGTATATTGAAGGAATTTGAAAGAATTCCGTCACTTTTTTGTGTGTAAAAACTCACTTTACATTTCCACTCTGTAGGTAACTCCCGGCGTAGATGCTTGTGCATATTGCAAAACTACCCAAAATTTGGACAGATTGAACAACAATGAGTTGCTAGAGATGATGAGACAGCACAAGCCGGACTACGGTCGAACCACAAGATTCTGTGGTAATTGCAAAAGCCGTGCACTTGCCAAACTGAATCGACGAAAACTAAATGCGGCCATCGCTGCAAAGAAAGCAACACGAAGCGCTGGAGAACAGACGACATCATCATATTCAAATGCATCGCGTCCATGTGAGTCCTAACAAATATTTTCAAACAGTTCTCGTGGGCTGTTTTGTACATGACTTCAGTGGAAATGATGGATGTCTCAAATTTTTAATTTGAATATGTTCAAACTGTCGCTAAAATAACAAAGTTGGCAATTTGAACATCGTTTGTCATAACCTCATTTTATTGAGAGACGAGTGTAGTTTCGGATGGAAATACTTGGTTTCTGGTTCATTTTTGAGTTTCACTTATTTGGTGGTGGTGGTGGTGGTGGTGGTGGTGTATAAACACAAACTGTACGATGTATTTGAACGAATTGTTACATTTTTGCCATATTTCAATGGAACATTTTTCGGCATTCTCTTCACAGTCTTGAGTAATTCATCGAGCAGTGGATCGACAAGCAAACGACGTCGTGAAGAAGCTGGCCCAAGTCGAAATGTTGCTAAGCGTACGGTGGCCCACCAGCTCGACGTGATAATGACGACGATGACGACGATGACGATGATGACGACGACGATGGCAACAATGCAATGATACCAATATTCCAAGTGCCAACAAGCCACCATACAAGCAATGCAAGCAACCGTTCATCGTCGAGCAGTCAGCGAACAAAAAGTCAACGCAACAACAGATCAAACGATTCAGCAGCAGCAGCAGCAGCAGCAAACTTTGACTACGCCAATGACTCTAACGATGGTCAAAATGGAGCTAATGGTGGTAGTGCTAGTCAATCAGCAAGTCAATCAAGCGGTAGCATGCAAACAGCACCCATGCCACGGAACCGAGGCCAACGAACGGTGACGCCACGTCAGCTAACACCCGAACGTGCTCGAAATATGGATCCACAAGAACTGTCGCAAAACTTCCAAACGTTCAATCGGGGCTCTGGTGGCTAACCAATTCCACTTTGATTACACTCATTCCCACCTGAT